ATGTGGATGCACGTACGGCCATGGCATGCCACGGCTATATCCACCAAGAACATCCAAGAACCACCTCCACAACGTCACACGTACTAGAGACTGAAGAGCACTAACTACGGCGACAAACAAACCGTCCACCAACAAATGGGCGTCAAGCATCTCTCATGACAAAAGAAAACGCCGTAGCAGCTGAGCCTCCCAGCGATCAGAACCTTCAGTGTGCACAAGGAGACACGAACGAAACAAAGCCCGACGATGCCCGAAGCGATTCTAACTGCAGGAATCAAGCCAAGGTGGGCTGGTTGGTGTAGCAAGCGCATCACTCACTTTCGGCTCTGAATTCGCCCCACCAAGACAGTCAGGCGAAACACCGTCGCAAACGCACCGGGGCGCACCGCGGCGCGAACGCGGCGCGAAGACACCCACTGGGAATTCGGGCGGCGCTGCACGGATCCATTTTGCCCTTGCATGCCTGCTATTGTGCCAAGGGAGTGAATTGTTGCTGGCGAGTCCTGTGGTAAGTCGATATGATATGAGGATCAAGTTGGGGACATTCTAGCCTGAACATTCTACAAAGCTACATGGAGCTGTGCTGACTGTGCTGGCTGGGCTGCTCTTCTTGAAGTAACTGATCTGTGGCAGGAAGTTGAAGGATTTCTTGACATGTTGGAGTTGTGGAATCCCAAAAGGAAGCACAGGTTCCCTCATGGCAACTGCCAACGAGCCTCCATGCATTCCTCCAGCGACCTATGGAAAATTTGATGAAAAGTGGGACTTCATCTCATCTCTCCTTCTCTGGTGTGGTTACAAAATGGTGCAAGTGTCTCCTTGCTTTCTTGCTTTGTGTCTATCTTTTCTACGCAGGTCTGCGATGGCAAACACGCTGCTTGGAAGCCAGCTTGCCCAACAATTCCATGACCTTGGCACGTGCCAAGCTTTTCTACTGACCATCGACCAACGACGTGACCAAAAGAATCGTCTCGAACAGCCTGAACGGTGAACCACTAATCACCAACCAAGGCCAACGAAAAAAGAACAGCAACTCCCTCGTGAAGATGCGTGAAGCCCACAATGCTCAAAACCCCCCTGGTGATGGAAAAGGTTCTCTTGGTCTGGAATCCTCTGTGAAGTTTGTTGTCTACAGCTGTGCCAGCAAAAGCAATAAAGGGCCCAAACCCAATGAGTTGAACTGGTCACCAATTCGTGCAGGTCTTCATGACGAGTTGCCATACAGGTAAAGCTGCCAATCTTGCCGAAGAAAAAGACCTGCCATCGTGATGACATGGAGGCCCCAACAACAAGCATGCCTCTTTGGTTTGCCTAGGGAACATGCGAATCAATGCCAATCAACCGCTTATATAAGTTGCACGTCTGGCTTGACCAGGCGCATTAAATGCACGCAAATATATATATATATAAATGAATTACATACTATATATCTATATATTTATTTAAATGCTGCTAATGTCAAGCGCTACTGAACACACTGAGCTTGGCCGCTTTCTCCTGACAAAAAATACTGCACCATACTAGCTCAAGCATCAACAAAGGGAAGGGAATGAATATCGGTCATCCTGTTGGAATACAAGAGCAATGAACATTGTAAAACACACCTTCTGTTCAATCACAATCCGACGCGTCGCAAGATTCCAATTTCACACCAAAACAGCTCCCACAAAAAGACATGATAATGAACGACCCCCCCCCCATCAAAAGCACCCCAAAAAAAAGAACACCAAGCCCAAGGAACGGCCAAGGGCCGGCCAAGGAGCCGTCTTTGCCCCACCAAACCCCGGGTGCACCTCTGCAAAGCCCTGCGGCCTGGCTGCGGCAGGAATTCCGAAGCAAACCGATTTGGTAACGGGCACGTCCCCATCTGCGACTCCTGACATTTGCAACTGGGAATGATGACACACTGTCCATTGCAACGAAGTACGAGTACGAGGAGGATGGAGGAGGGGGCTACACTGCTATACTTGTGCCATCTTGTGCCCAATTGTTGGAGCCTTTTCCATCCTCTTCATCTTCCTGTTCGAATCTCAGTGGGATCTCCCCATTTCTCAGCCTCCGAGGCTCGCTCAGCTGCTTCAACAGCCGGTTCTCCATCCTCAGGAGTCATGCCCGTGTTCCGCAAAAACACACGCTTGCTTGGAAGAAACATGATTTGAAACCCTCGTTCCAGTCAAGCAAGCCCGGCTCAAATCCACAGAACATTCCATCCCTCTGCGGTGATTGCAGTCGTGGCTAAACGGCCAACGTACGCCCTTCCGCTCGATGCTGGGGCCATGGACGCCAAACTCCCTGGAGCGCCACAATTGGAGTCCTGGCCGTCCACATCGACCAAGAATAGTGCAATTGGTGGAAAATGGGCTCCAAATCACCTGGATGTTCGCAAACTTCCATGTTCCGCTCCCGTGTTTAGTGTGGTCGAAACACCTTGCCGTGACCAGGCAGTGAAGCTGTTCTCGGGATTTCAATCACGAACTGAGGCTCCACGAGAGCGTCGCGTCGCGGGCCTGGCTGGCTGATGACCTTGTTATGGTGCCAATCTGTGCTGATGCACCCATGGATGCTCTTGGAATCGATTTCCCCGGATTTTTGTGGCGGACTGGCCCTGGCTGGGACATTTTTTAGCAAGTCATCGTCGTGAAGGCTGGCCCAGGCTGGCGGTTCTGAAGGCGGACCTACGTAACATGAAGCGGCCAATGTCAACCAGTAGGACTGGCAGACTAACATGCTTCGAAAAAAAAGGCTGACAGGAACTGACTCCTTCGATGCAATCCGCAGCACTCTCCCGCCGCACCTGCTCCTTTGACGCGCGCGGGTCCCAGCCTCGAACTTCACGGCGACGGGAGAGTCGGACTTCCGGTCCTTTCCCAGGAAGACTGCTCCAAAGCAGCCCTGCGCAGGTTGATACTGGTCTTGACATCGTCTCCAAGCTGAGTGATCGTCTGATCATCCAAGATTCATGACTGATTTTGTTGGAAGTTTGGAGTCGAAATCCCTGCTGGCTGGCCCCAAAAATTAATGACAAAGACTGGTGGGACTACACATCGGCAAGTTTCCTCCACGGATTCTTCCGGCAGTTGACTGCATTGACTTGGATCTAGATCCCCACGGATAGGCTACAGCCAGGTCATCTGGAAGCCAACTGGCTCGCCTCAGCCAAATACACTTGCCGCCAACTGCAGAACCGTTATTCATATCTCATCTCTATACCCAGTAAACACCGGACTCTCCCGGGTGGGTGGGTGTCGCGAGCCAACAGCTTCCGCCAACAGCGGCAAGTGGCCCCTGGCAGTGGCCTCCCCCAACTTGTCTTGCACTTGGAAGCGGCCATCACCCACATGCGGTGGGAACTTCTTCGGCATGGCCTGGTTCTGCAACGGAAGGTTCATGGTTCCAACATTCTCCGTTCGCCGTATTTAGGTCTGGGCACGGGAAACATGATCTTCTCAGTTTCACCATTGGTGGATCGTTCTTCGCAGTTCCGCGGTCTGCACTAAGAACCACGAAACACCACTTCCATCAACTTCCTGCAGTGGCGCTCGTGGACAAAAGGTCCAAAGGTGAATCGTGAGCTCAGGAACTAAGCAGCTTCCAGGTAATCGACCTGCTACTAGGTAGTTGGCTTGCGTTTTTCTGCAGGAGAATAAGCAACCCAAGATCCTACTACATGCGGCCTAGTGAGCAAGCTTTCAGCTGGCCATTGCCGGTGTCTACTTCGGGCGAACTGAACAAATACAAGAAGTGAGCAGCTTTATGAAACACGACTAGCAACAACCGGTTGGTCTGACCAGCCGTCAAGTCTGACATCTTCTGCTCTTAGCTTCTTTGGCCGAAGGTGAGTGATTTGATTTGTTTGTTGATGATTGTGAGCGTCGGTTTAGCTGCTATGTTTCTGTGCATCGGTCGGATCATTTCAGGTTCATGCTGTGTCCTACGCTGTGGTTCGCTACTTGAAAACCTCTCAAAAAAGCGGGCCAGTAGTGCAGAATGAGAGAGGTGCTAATAAGTCTGTAAGAGCACGACTATGTATACATGAATATACATGAATGTATATATATATATGTATGTATGGTCAGTGATTCCTCTCCCTCAAAAGGAGGAGTCATATACCAAAAAACTCCAAAACAAGTTGAGTTCTACCGTTCTACCTACTGTGCTTTGAGGTTCACAACTGTCGCATGCCTATCCAGAGGCGGGATTGCTTCCAAGATGTGGATTGCTCTTGATGGGTGCTCTGGTCGTCTTCGCGGGCACATCCGTGCACTATCCTGCAATAGTATCACTCAAACTGTGTACAATGCTCCCCCTCTCAGGAACATGCTGATTCGTTTTTGCTAGCATTTACTGTCTATCATCAACATGTGGCTCTAGTCAACGTGTCGATCCGCCCTCACCCCTTTCTCGCGCACTCAATATGCACTCTTAGCATAGGTCGGTGACGGCCTGCTACTTTGTAGCTAAAAGCGGTCGCTTCGGCGGCAGTGTCCAAAAGATGTGTCTGATGCTCTTTCCCAGTGGCTCAGCACAAAGCAGCCGCTTCAGGGGGTGGATGGCGGAGATCCCAATCAGACATGACACTCATTGCACCGAGCAAGCGGCCAGCTAAGCACTGTAAAGTGGAATGCAGCACGTTGAAGCATGGAAAGCAGCCCCGCTGGGCGGACTGTGAGTACGGTGAGTGAAGAAATCGAAATCAAAACCAGTTTTTTCGTTGCAAAATCCAATTGGTTGTGACCTCATCCTGATTTTGAAGCGCTTATTCCTTCCAGTATTCGAATCCTTTTCTTGAAGTGGCATCCTGTTGGTCTGAGCAACTGGTGTCGATACGTACTGACCACATGTTCACAGTCCTGAAACTTGCAGGCTTTCAAGCCTGTGGGGTGCAGCCACATGCAAGAGAAGGATGCCAGGACGCTACAGTAAGGGAAAAACACTCTGCAGAAGCCTCCCTGCTACTATAGATGCTGTGCTTATGACAATGATCTGGAAGAATACACATTGCCGGAATTTGCCATCCCTAAGTGACCTTGTCAAATGCGTGTGGTGACCTCATTGCCACTTTGGCGGCTTGGTTGGGTCCAACACACGGGTTGGTTGCTGAGCTGGATCCGTGTCTTCCTCTTAGCATGTCCTTTCCGTCTTCGCTTCCGTTCGACACGAGCTGAGCTGAGTCACAACAGCAACATGGACCACCTTCGTGGTCTCTTCTGTCATCCATCGTAGGGTGAGACAGTCGACAGCTTCTCACCCGTTTTAGACATCTTCTGGAAGATATCTTCGCTCAAGGCAGCAAAGGGTCAAAGGGTCAAATGACGACGAAGTGGGCCTGGATGTGTGCATAAACTGTAATCTGGGCATAGACATGGAAATGCATGGAAAATTGGAACCCATGTGCAAACAATCCTATCTTCATCGGCAAAGAGCCATTTCCCGCAAGCAGTTCTTGTCCATATCTCCCTGCCTCATCCCTCAGCCCTGCTGCTCAGCGAAAAAGACTGGAGCCAGCTCCACGGCACCAGCGCGGGAAGACTATGACCTAGCATCCCAAAGAGTGACATAGAAACTCACCAACCACCTCTGTATGGAGGTGAATCATCTTCGATATCATCTGGCAGGCCATCTACAGTTCTTACGAGAGGGTCAGGATTGAGAAACCCATCCATGACCATCTCACCCTTCATCCCATCAACAGCCTTGGGTCAACTTCAACATGCTGCTCCCAAGGAGTTTCTACTACAGCTGCTTGCTGCCCTTCATCCTTACACTGAGACTAGCACAACTTCAAATGCTGGACATATAATTCCTGAAACACCGATTCTCTGGCTCCTATATCCTATGGCTCCTCTTTCCTTGTCCTCCTGATCTTCCTCTTGCTGCTGTTGTAGGTTCGACCATCAACAAATCAAGAAACAACTCCACCTTCCTCGACATGCCCTCTCCTGAAAAGTTGTTCAACGCAATCATGGTCAATAGGCCACGTGCACCTAAAAGAGACAAGCCTTTGCGCATATCAACAAAACCTCTGGATCCAAAACCAAGCACAACCTGCATTGATTGATGTGGGTCTAGTTCATCAACTTTACCTCTTTCTGGGGGTGCATCATGAAGTCCCAAACGCATTGAGGCTAGCACCTCTGGCCATCTCTACGTCCATTAAAGGTCGCCGTCATCACCACACACCTCCACAGGTTAGCAGGGTCAATCAGTGTGACAATGCCAAGCATATCGACTACAGTGATAGGTTATGTATGATAGACTTTTGGCATCTTTTGGCAATTTCCTTACCAGCATCCAACAGGAGCTATAGGAGGACCATGTGACTGATCTCTACCTGCAAGAGAAAATCCAAGCGGTTTGGCCAAAATCCCTGCGTTGCCCATCTTCCGGCGCTTGGCCCGGTGGGCCGGGCCTCCTTGGCCTCTTTCCTGGCTCGTGCCATACATGGGTAGAGGAGGTACAAAAGCAACCAAGCAGCAAGCAAGGCTGCAAACACCTCAGCCGGGTTCGAATGCATGCAAAGTGCGAAGCTCTGTGGGTGGTTGGGTTGCTCAAGCGCCCAGAACGCGAGCATTCTCTTGTTGCACTATGTTGCACTCAGGTTTGCTGAGTCATGCTGGATAGAAGTGGAGGGTGCACAAGCTCATTCACAACCAAGTCACCAAGTGGTTGGTCCAGCTAATTCCAGCCATCAGGGTCGCGTTGACGTAGATGCCGAGGGCTGACAAGAAAACAAGAAGCCAAGAAGTCTCCCAAAGTATCAGCCACCCAGAATGAATCACCAGTGCTTATCCTGTTTATTTGTTGACAAGTTGACGGGTTCTCACCAACCAAATTGGTAAGAAAATTGGTAGCAAACTGGTTGTCGAGTCCAAAGAAACATGTTGATTCAATCAATCAACGCGCCTCTGTGTAGAAAAGCCAAGTACTTGGGGTGCGGTCACCCATGAAGACAAAACCGAAAAAGTTTGAGATCTCTCTGTCCTTGTAAATGCTTGCTCTGCAAGAACGGTAAGTCCAGGTGATGTAACATACCAAGCTTTGCGTGCCCGTTGAAAGGCAAAGCCTGACTGTCTTTTGTCCAAACCATCTCAGCCTCGCCTGGAATGTATGGCACCAGCGGTGCCTTGAAAATGTCACCCTGGCGCTTTGGGGGCTTCAACGTGCAGCGTGCCAAGTTAAAGCAAGTCTACATCGCATCTCTGCATCTCTTCAACCACACTGCCAAACCGTACATCTGGAAGTACATTTACATTAGTATACATATGTGAACATATACATATATGCAAGTTATATCAAATTATAGTTATAAACATGTCAAATGCAATACGTATTATACGGCGTGCGTATCAATGAATATGCACCTTCAACACCAAAACACCTTGCCTGGTCCTTGTCCTGAACTTGTTTACAGTAGCAAGCGATGTAGACAGTCAAGAAGACCTTGCAAAGCCGCGGGAACAGGTGAGCAGGTGTGAAAGTTCAACTGAGGACCAGTGCTCACGCACACACACACACACTACAAACACATCATTTCAAACACTCTCCCCTGCCCACAGTGAACGTGTGAGCCCTTTCGCTCCCCTCTTCCCTGCATACCCGAGGCCCCATGACAGGTGAAGCCGAGCAGCCGTCAAGGCTGAGAAAGCTGGTCCCAGGATCAAAGCCCAAAGCTCGGGCTGCGTTGAGCTGGTTAGGGTCACATGGAGAATCTCCTGGCAGGTGCCGAAGGTGTGCTGACTTGGCGAAGTGTCGAAGTTGGCATTGCTTTGGAATGGAGCTGGTAGAGATCAAAACCTGCTCCATTTCCGAAAGCAAACAATCAGTTCAACTGATTCTGATTCCCTTCCTCTGCCAAGTCTGCATCTTGCCTATCTTAGTCTTGGCATGGGCTGTTCGCCCACAGCCTCTTCCAGGTGCGCCATCCGGGAGTCCCAAGGCCTTCCAGTTGATGTAGCCGGCCACAATGGCAGAAACGAAAAGGACACGCACCAGCTTGGCGACCCTGATGTGACGTCTCCGGAAGTGACTGATTTGTGACACAAGCCGAAGCCTATTAGCGTCCGACCACTACTAGTAGCGATGCCATTTGTTCCTAGTAGCTTCTCGCTACTAGTAAGGCCAGGAGCTACTAATAGCGTCCTACTACCTAACATCTACCTTACCTCCCCCAAAGGCATGCAAGAAGTATAAAACTGCCCATGTCTTCACGCGCAGTGTTGTATCCGTTCTCTGACCCGCTGGTGGTGACAAATCGGTGCAATTGTATGCACTTAGTGTCGGTTCATTTGGGCTAGCACATGTCGGGGTGGTGCACCAAACACGTGCAAAGGAACGATGCTCGGGTTCCCCTCCTTGGCTGGCACACCGCGCCACCATTGCCATAGCCTCAGCGGAAGTGGGATCAGGCCCAGTGCAAAGCACCGAAACTAAATCAGAATTGGTGGGACACCAAGCATGTCAAGAACATCAAGTGCTATCTTCGTCTTGTGGAGGAACACAGCCAACCACGCGAATTCAACCAAGGAACGGATGTTGATCAATGAAGCGTTGCCTGGAGTGAAGAATCATGCAGGAAAGGCAACAATGGTTCCAACGATCCTATGTCAGGGCATGTCAGGGCTCACCTCCTTGTACGCCAAGTTCGCAGGACGGAAAAAAGAACGCAACACGGCAAAAACATGCAAAAACACTATATATATAGTTGTATTGTTGTGTTGACAGGTTTGTATTGATCTTGGACACTCTGCAAGAGTTCAAGTCTTGGGAAGAACATACGCACACAATACTCGATGGCTAACATGGTGTTGAGACGTGTTGAGTATCCAAAGATCTTGATTATCATTGAAAGCCAAGGTGAAGTAGAAGTAGAAGGCTCGTGCGCCAAGAGCACAGTGTTGCAGAATAAAACTATTTCATACTATTTCCAAGCACCCAACATAGCCGCAATTTATGTGAAGAATAACCCAATTGTGCACTCAAAGAACTCAAAGCAGTGTCTTCGGAGACAAGAACTCGCCAAGAGTAACCTGGCGTCTTCAGCCTTCAAATCTTGCTACAATCCTCGACCATAAAGCCTTGAAAAACGAAAAAACCCAAAACATCTCCTAGATGTGGCAGGCTGCAGAGTCTCTCTCTAGTCATAGTCTGGTTCAAAAAGATCTGTACATTGGGTATAACAATGGATGGTGATGCTTGGTAATGTTGGAGCCTGATTAGTAAATAGGTCCTCTATAATGCTAAATTATTCCAAATTTATTCAGACCCCTCTGTTTGAAAAAATGGTTCCTCTATAATGCTAAAAATTTGTTGGTCCCAAATTTTTAAATTGGAAACCCAATTAATAAGGGTTTGAATTCCTTCTGAACCCTGTCCACCTGCACCCCCCCCTCCCTTCCCAGGCAAGCAGCCAGCAGCAAAGCAAAACACAGATGAGGCCAATGATTATGGTTCATTAGCTGATATAGCTTTCTCTAGATTTCTTCAAAACTGACAGCTGACCAAAACCACCAATTCACCAATTAAACCCTTTATAAAACATTGCTCCTAAACAAATTTTCAAGGCAGTAGACCAGGAAGGCACCTGATCCTCAATAATAAATTGGTTGTTGGGTCCTCAATTGTGAAAAAATGTTTTCCCTCGAAAAAATGCGCATGGAACCTCCCTTTACTTAGCTCCTGAGGCCAATGATTATGATTCATTAGCTGATATAGTTTTCTCTAGGATTCTTCAAAGCTGACAGCTGACCAAAACCACCAATTCCCCAATTAAACCCTTTAAAAAACATTGCTCCTAAACAAATTTTCAAGGTAGTAGACCAGGAAGGCACCTGATCCTCAATAATAAACTTGTTTGGGGTCCTCAATTGTGAAAAGTTTTTTTCCACTGGAAATTTAAAAATGCGCATGGAATCTCCCTTTACTTGGCTACTAAAGCCCCCTTTACCCAAACAGGAAAGCAAAAGAATCATATTCAACCAGAAGAGGTGCAGCCAGCCTGCTGAAAGCTTGGGGCTTCTCTTGAGCTGAAGATCTGAGGCTGCAAAGCAAAAGGATTGCTGAGAACAATTACAAAGCACCTGAGAAAGCAAGCTGAATACAATCTATGAAAGGAAAACCTGAGAAGCTGCAAAACGAAAGCCAGCGCTTCCCTTTCTTGACAACTGCGCGTCGAAGCAATCAAATGAGCTCGCGCAGCAGCTTGCGGCCGCGTGTCAAATCTGCTTCATGTCTTGTTCTGCCCACACATAGGTGACCATGCAAAAGCAAAAAATGCACTCTTGCATCACCACCCGCTCCAAAATCACTAAAACATAACCTCCAAGAGTTTACGTATACCTTTCTCGGGCCACCCCCCCCCCCCCCCCCCCCCCTCTCACGTCTCTCGCGCCCCCCCCCCCCCATCGACCTTGTTGTAGCAGGTCTCTTTAGGAACGGCCTTATCCAGGTATCCTTGTTTGAATCTGTTCTTCATTTTTGAGGTGGCCTGAACAATGGTTTTAGGGCAGCAAACGCCTGGCCCCAGGCCACCTTGAATTTCGAAAGAAAAAACATTCTGTTCACACAGAGATAATTCCCATCCACATTCAGCTGTTCGAGTTCCTATTGAAGGGTATAGTTGGCGAGTGCGTCACCACCCGCTCCAAAAGCATCAAAGCATCACCCCCCAGAGTTTACGTATATCTTTCTCGAGCCACACATGCACAGCAAACCACCGCTTTGAAGTCTCATTCGTGCTTTGAACTTGTATAGGTGTGTAAGAGGTATAGCAACATAGCATATATATGGACCCAGGGTAGCTACAATTCTATTCCCAGGTACCGCGCGCATGAGGCTTCAAAGCTGTGGTTTTCAAGCTAAATTCAAGGTGGCCTGAGACCAGGGTTTGCTGCCCTAAAACACTCTGTTCAGGCCACCTTAAAAATGAAGGTCTGCGAAGCGAGAGCAAAGGATGCACATTGTGGGGTCATATAGGGAGCCAGGCCATTTTCAGAATCTTCTGGATTTGAGCTGTTCGAGTTCCTATTGAAGGGTATAGTTGGCGAGTGCGTCACCACCCGCTCCAAAAGCATCAAAGCATCACCCCCCAGAGTTTACCGTATATCTTTCTCGAGCCACACATGCACAGCAAACCACAGCTTTGAAGTCTCATTCGTGCTTTGAACTTGTATAGGTGTGTAAGAGGTATAGCAACATAGCATTCATACGGACCCAGGGTAGCTACAATTCTGTTCCCAGGTACCGCGCGCATGAGGCTTCAAAGCTGTGGATTGCTGTGCGTGTGTAGAGGTTATCGAGCGGTTGACGGAAAGGGAACTTGAAGTACTATACCTGGTAGCTGCACTATAGCTACCCTGGGTCTCTATACCTGGCAAGGTGCCAACTACACCTTTCCATTCAGATGATGCAAATGATGCAAATTGCATTTCTTGCATCACCACCCCTCAAAAATCACCACCTCAAAAAACCTTCCCTCGACGCACCCTCCTCCCCCAGCATGTGCCGAGTTTACGTGTACCTTTTGCGGGCCACCCACCCCAGACCCCCTAACTACTCACTTCGTTCGCCAAACACAACTCCGCTGGCGCCTTCTACGAAGGCTGGCTTTCGTAATTAATACTACAATACTACAATCAATTACAAAAAGGAATTCTCACAGGAATCCAGATTTGTTTTGGTGATAGTTTATTATAGAGGACTCCCTGTTTGTTTGAGGGGGGGGGAGCCCCTATTTACTATTCAGGCTCCAACATTAAAGGGCTTTCTTTAAAATAGCGATAATCATCCGATAATCGTTTTCCGACTGCTAGGTAGTAGGACGCCCCCAATCTGTATATAAAGAAGCTGCACGGAACCATAAGTCCAAGAGCCGGGTTTGAGCGACCCGGGCGCCCGGCCCGAGCCCCAGCACAGCCCCCCGATCCAAAGAGGCTGAACTCAGAATTCTCAGGCTCAGCTGTCTCGCCCAGTCACTGAGATTGAAGCTGAGCAAGACACCCAAGCTGATCACCTTCGAGGCCGCTGACCACTCACAAATCTGGACCTGTGGAACCCCAACCAACATCATGCTTTTAGAATGCTTCACCAGCGACAAAACCGTTCTTCGTGGTTGAGCCGGTCAGTCACTGTATGAGATATATCTGACCAGGTCGTCTTCACCGTACCACGGTACCGTGCCTCCGGTCGCTGGTGTTGTGAAGCGGCAAAAAAACCGCCCGAATCAGTTCCATTTCAAGCTTGTAACATCCATAGGCTCGACGATGCTATGCTGCCAAAAAGGGCATGATTTCATTGAGAAAACGTGATAGCATGACCTGGTCCCGGAATGTTGCTTCCACAGGGAAAACCATGCTTAATAGTAAAGCATCCTTAGGAACTCTCGGTCCAAAAGCAAGGGCTGGTACGGGCAGGGCGAAAACATTCGAGGAACCCACCAAGCTGCTGAAACTCCTTATGACCCCAGTTCTCAGCCAAAGAGCATCCCAAAGAATGCTGAAAGGACAGGCCAATGCCAAAGCAGTGAGAGCAATCAATCCTCGAGAGCATCCGCCAGTGAGATCAACGTGCCGTGCTTGGACAGGTGGGACTTCGGGTGCACACATGATATCGTCGGGCTGCGGTGCGAAGAACTAAACCCATAGGAACTACTGGCAAGAAACCTGCCCTTTGTAATTACAGGCGTTGGAGAAATCGTTGTGAGACCAGGATGTTGATACCTTCAATAGGTTGTGCTGATTCACGAGCGTAAAACCGATCACAAAGGTACTGCATCACGTTTGATAGCCGGAGCAGCTGCAAGTAGTTAGAAGGGAGACTGGAGACACTAGAAAGGTTGCACAGGAAAAAGCAAGCTGACATTATCACGTGTGCATGTCTTAAAGGGTGGAGTGTTGATTCTTTGGAACCTCCATGAAACACAGAACAACTACAGTAAAAAATGAATTTCCTGGAGCCATGAAACACATTGTTAATAGATGGTTGGAGACTTTGATTCATAAGAGACCTGGAAACATAGAAACACCATGAAACTCCTTGGACCCAGTGGATGACGATGACGAAGATGGTGCCACCAGACCGTCAAGAACAGTCGTACTGATAAATATAAATGTGAGAAACAGCGGACGGAGAGCGTCTTTTCTCCACAAAAGGGGTGGCTCAAGGGCCCTGGTATTGAACCAGTGGCCGCGGCGAAAACTGAAGTCAGCTTGTGTCCTGGGTCGTGTTGTACCTCGTTTCTCATCCTTCGGGGGGTCACTCCAGGACACCAGCTTCCTTCGTCAGCCCGTATTTGGCTGTCGCCATGACCTTCCTGAGCAAGGCACTATTGCCTAGTCTCTTGGTCAAAGGATCAGCTATCATCTGCTGACCTGGAACCCAAAAGGTTTTGCACTTCAGTGCGCGTGCGGACACGCAAATTACAGCCACGTCCAGCTGAGCTCGCCTGTCTTGGCCTGCATTGCCGCTCCTGCGGCTGAGCAACTCGTAGAGCGCTTTTGCGTCTGTGACATGGGCTCCGGTCATCTTGTCAATAACCCTGATGCTAGCCACATCCTCCGGCTCTTCTCCTTCAGGAAGCCGGACCACCATCAGCGACTCTGAGGAGCCAAGTCGCGAGCCATCGAGTACAGTGCTGTGCTCGTCCAGGAGCTCATGCCAAAGTGCTCTGAGCCATTCAGCTTCGGCCAAAGCATCATCCATCGCCAAAGCTTCTGAGCCCAGCGTGGCTTTCACCACTCTTCGAAGCTTATGCGAGCGCCAGCTGTTGATGCTCAAGTCTGCCAGCGCTCCATCCATGATGGTCTTGCAAGCGAAGGCCAGCAGGAAACCTCCCTGGGACTTGTTCTCGACATTGGCCATACTCGCATCTGCCACCGTCACCCATAGTCCTGCATTTGCTGGAATTGGCAGGACTCGAAGGAAAGCATCTTTTGTTTGCTTGAGCTCTGCGACCGTCTTGTTGGCCATGAGGATGTTCTCCACTGTTGGACCAGCTGCCGTCCATGCCATGGCCATAGCGCAGGCTGCGCCAACGTCAGGTCGAGCCTCCTTCCCAATCCAAAGGAGTGAGCCGCCCATGCCTCGAAGCCATGTGATCTCCTGCTCGGTCAGCTTCGAGGTCTTATCTTTGAGGCGGTCTTTGGCCAGGGTGACAGGTTTGAGCTTCTCCTCAATGTACCTGCGCATGCTCACCTGGATCTCAAAGTCCTTGGTTTGAGTCAGCGTTCTGCCGATGTATTCGGCTGAGCTTTCATACAGGTCCTTCCACTTGCCGAACTTGAGCTGGGTGCGCAGCTTTGCCATCAAGTCTTGGTGGCGCTGGTTTCCACCTTGGCAGAAGTCATCAACATCCAGCAAAACCACTCCTGCCACCATGAAGTCCTCGGGGTTGTTCTTCTCCTCTGGGATGGCAGGCAAGTAGTACAGGCATGGATCAAAGACACTTTCCTGGTAGGTCAGCTCCAGGAGAAGTCGCCTGACTGTCTTTCGCCACACCGCTGGAGCGTTGACAAGTCCATAAACTGCAGTGCGGACATGGATCAGGGCATTCTGGTCCACGTCAGGGATTCCTGTCGGTGGCATGCTGGCATAGAGAGGGCCTTGTTCCCTTTCAACTTGATCGCTCTGTCCAAAAGCACTGGACACATCCATCACGATGAGGTGGTAGTGATGGCTAGCGATGATCTGAAGGACCAGCATCACGGTGGTGGTGGATGGTGTTGGAGCGAATCGCTCGAGTTGGAGGCTGTCTGGATCTCGGTGGCCTAAAAGAATCCACCTGGCTTCTGCCTTCCAGCTTTCACCAATTTCTCCTGTCTTCTTTGTGATCAGGAATCTGCTTGGCATGATCCGGTGCTTGAGGGTCTCACGGATCTCCTTCAGCTTGGCTGGATCGGTCACCAGCTCAATGGCTCCGGAGTTGACGAGGTTGCTGATCTCCAAGAGCTTGGCATCTCTAAACAGCTTCTTTTCTGCTGCTGTGAGGTTCTTTTCATTCAGCTCTTTGCCCTGCTTGGTGAGGTAGTGGAGTGGAAACTCATCTTCAAAGGTCTTCAGGGCATAGTAGCAGTCTTTCTTATCCAGCAGCTTGAAGGCGTCAATGTCCCGGCTGTTGGCCACGACTGGGTAGAGAGTCTTGTCACCCCATTCATTCTTGGTGTCAGCTCGCCAAACTCCAAAGACTCTGCTTTTGTGAGCCGTTCTTTCACTTGGTGCCGGTTCTTCCAGCGATCGCTTCATGCCAGTGTCTGTCAGCCGAGCATCTTCTTCTGGTTCTTTGTCTCGAGCTGGCCTGGCAGTTGTGGTCTTTGTTGTTGCTTCATCTGGAAATGGTTTGCCTGGATCGGGATGTCCTGGCTTTGGCTGGTAGATCAAAGTGGTTTCAATGCTTTGCACACCACTGGGAAGCTTCTGGTGGATCTGGTGCACTGTCATGCCTTGGTGAATGGTTTCATCTCGGATCACCTTGTCAGTGTCCAGGTCCAGCGTGATTCGCCGGACCACATCTCCCCATAGTGGACCTTTTGAATTGGATGCTCTAAATCGCTTTGCCTCCACATCATATCGAACCCATTGTCTGAGTCCTGGGCTTGCAGCTGAGGAAGATGCTGAGCTTGCTTCCTTGGCTGACTGGTTTTCCACTGTGGCTTTCCACAGCTCATCACCATCATTGGCTGGCTGGTTGTCTGTTGTGGCCGGTGCCGAATCTGGTGCTGATGCCGTGGGCTTGCTTGGTGCTGCTTGTGTGTTCTCTTCCAAGTCAATGACATTCTCGGGTTTGTTTTGCCGTGCTTGGTGTGATGATCTGGACCTGTTGGTCCTTGGTAATGCCGGTGTCATAGGAGCGGGTGCTGGTGTGCCTGGTGCTGAAGCCGGTAGTGCTGGTGTTCGTGGTGCCTGTCCTTCGGGGGGTCCTCGAGGTGTTTGAGGAACCCTCCGAAGAATGTCTGCTTGACCAGCAGGCATTGGTGCTGGTGTTGAAGGCACCCGAACTATATCATCTTCATCTGGTGGGTCACCCTCCTTCTCGACATCCACGAAGCCCAACTTCTCGCTGTGGAACCTTAGCTTCTCCTTGTCTTTGAGCAGTTCAAGTGGGACAATTTGAATTCCCTGCTTCTCGAGGTTGCCCATGGGGAACACCTGACTGCGATTGCAGCGCCACAGCTCTCCTCTCCGACTCACCCAGACACTGTCGCCCTTCTGCAGAATGACGAAGGCGGGTCCAACTTTTGCTTGAAAGCCTCTGCGCCCCTGTCTCCAGACATAGACCGGCTCACCCTCTTGGAAGACCTGTTTTTCCCGGGCTCTGCGAGGTCTTGCTCTGGCTGCTCGTTGAAGTCGCTCTTTGGAGTCGGTCATCATCAGAGCTTTTCTTGCAGCTTGTCTCAATTCCTCCGCCTTGGCCCATGCTGCATCATTGGTGATGGAGACCTCATACTCGGACATGTTGGAGAGGCTGTCCATGTTCAGTGAGGGCTGCTTGCCGAGAACACGCTGTGCTGGTGAGTAGCCGCTTCTGTTTGTCATGGTTTGTAGTGCCCAGGAAACTTCATGCACCAAAGTCTTGACCTCCTCGATGTCAGTCGGAGGTCTGAGCTCACGGCTTTTGTAGTACACCTCTTTGAAAAGACCTCCTCGGCGTTCTGTGATGCCGTTCTGGTACGGTGCATCTCTATCAATCCACATGGGGACAATGCCGTGGTTCTCCAAACCTTCAACAAATGCACCCATGAACTCAAGTCCCTGGTCCATGATGATGAACGAGGGTGCACCAAACGTTCGAAGCCAACTGGCCGTGAAGGCCTGCCAGACCAAATTGCTGCTTCTGCGAGTTGGGTGCACCAGAACAAAGGTGGAATACAAAGTTCCTTGGCAGGTGACGTTCAGGATGGGCAACTCGCTGATGTCATCAGCTCCAAAGACAAACAAAAGGTCCACACCGATCACGACGTTGAAGTCATAGGTCTTCGGAGTAGCCGCCGGCAATCTTGTAGGTTGCCTCTTTTCTTTGGCACATCCCTCGCAGGAGAACTCTTTGAGGACATACTGTATCACGTCAGGCCTGGTGCCTGCATTCTTGAGGAGCCGGGCGAACTCTTTGACTGAAGGGTGTCCCAAGTTGATGTGAGCTCTCAGGACCATTGACTTCTCTGCGGTGGTCACCGTGCTAATCTCTGCAAAATGCTGAGACAATTCCGGGTGGTGATACAGCACGATGATGACCTTGTAGTTCACCTCCAGCTTAGGTGTTTTTCCACTTCTCGCACGCTCCAATTGAATCCACTTGTTGTCCCAAATGTTCCTGGCCCATGTCCAGCGCAAAGTGCGGTGACCAGGTCCTTGTCGAGGGATTGCTGTTGTGTTTGAAGACACCCAGACAGCGCTCTGGTGAAATTGCCTCCATTGGAACTCCTGGCGGCCAAGTTCTTCAGCCCATTGCTCCATGTCGCCACGATCTGGTAGTCGTTGAGGTCGGCCATGTTGTGAGTCAGCCCACTCTTGAATGAGTCCATCGACTATGGCCTGAACCAGCTTTGGTGGGTATCGTTCAGCAAGCTTTGGAAGGCCGTTGACCAGCTGCTGATGAGGTTCTTCACATTGGCATAGTCGTTGAAGATTCACTGCAATGGCGTCGCAGGAAGTTGCAAAGAGAGTTGACTTCCGATTCAGACCATCTTCTGCTCGTAGTCCAAATCGGCATTGATGACCTTTGACCAAGATGATCTCGTCGTGGCTGAGGTAATTCCTCACCGAGGACAAATTCCATGATGTAGCCGTGTCTGGGTGCTCATGTAGTCCATGGTCTCCTCGATTCCGTTGGTCTTCGAGACAGACCATTGAGAAATCAACGTGCGACACAGCTTCTTCCCATTCTCCTCCAAAGTCCTCCCAGTTCTTCCTGAGGTTCTGGAAGGGTGAAAACTTGGTGCACGGAGGTGAAGAGACCAGGAGCTTTGGCTTGCGTCTTGACAATTCTTTTCTCACATGCTCCTTTGTCTCGGAGTCTTTGAGGTCATAGCCAGTGCAAAGGTCGACCGAAAGCTCTGCCCTGAGTCCTCTTCTGCGAGCTTCCTCCACGACCCGTGGTGGACTGTAGAGCTCGACAATGGCGTCATTGGTGTCCTGGAGGCTGCCATAGATCTCGGCCACGTCATCTGCGGTCTCTTCCTCAGCCCATAGATTCCAGTACACCGTCTGGTCTCCGAGCAGGTCATCTAGGCCTTGGTTGATCTCGGCCTTCATAGGTTTGGTCAGAGTGACCTCCATGTCGCACTCAGCTGTGACCAGGTAATCGAGGAAGTCAGACATGAACTCATAGAGGACCAAGTAGTGGACGTTGCCGCCAAGAAAGTAGTTGTCACCTGGCACCGAGGAAACGCTGACCGCGTTCCAAGCTTCACCGTTGTGGGTGAGGATCACCCGTCGGCTAATAGTGGGCCATGTTGAAACCGGTGCAACTCCTTTCACACATTCACCACATCCAGTGGTTACATAAGTTGACGCCACGTCCAACTCCAGGGTCTCCATGAGGTCCATGAAGGTTTCTGGTAGTAGTCCTTGTCGTTGAAGGCTGTGCAGCCATCCGTTCAGTTCTGCAACTTCTCGATGCTGAACGGTCCCATCTTCTTGTAGGCCAAGTCCATCTCGAACATGAAGGCCTGCTGGCTGCATGGCTCCCAGGTGCACTGGAGTTCCGCACTCTGAGGATCCGGATCTCCATTGATCACCAGCATCTCCTGGCGGTTGCAGCGGAAGCACAGGTAGGTGCCATGAGCTGGCTCCACCTGGTTGGCAATGGAGCTCCAGTTCATTCGACATGCCGGGTTGTCGCACTTCCAGATGAGCTTCTGAGTCGGCATGTGGCGATGCAGTGTCAGCATTCCCTGCTCGCCAGCTGGGCATAGGTGGCAATCTTGTTGATGAGCTTGGCGTGGCACACCCTGCATCCAGACATCCTCCCCGATGTTGAAGCTCTGAGCTGATGTGTTCAGGCTGAGGATCTCGCTGGCCATGACATCGTGCCATGAAGTCTGTTGTTCGTCCACTTCGTCCAGCTCGTCTTTGACTTGATCCTGGGGAGTCCGAGGCAGTGGAACTGGCTTGGCCCTGCTCTTGTAGGCCGTTGATCTCTTTGGAGGACTGCTCGGTGACTCCTCCTCTGGATTCTTCTTCTCCTTGGTCGCCTTGTTGGTGTTCTTCTTGTCGTAGAAGGCGTCCGGGATGAAGACCAGCGTCTGGTTCCACACATGGAGCTCCGTCACTGACGTAAGTGGCATTCTCTGAATCTGCTGGCATTGAGCACACTTGTGGAAGGTGCCATACTTGTTTGCTCCATGGGAGGTCTCGGCATGGGAGCAGTGGATGCTCTTCTCGAGGCACGGGATCAGGTACTTGCCGTGTCCCTTCACACAGGCTCGAGGTCGGACACGGTCTTCCTCCCTGGCAGTCGTCAGATCTGCCTGGGGTGGTGCTGACGAAGATGCTGCCTCTCTGATCACCAGCTGCTCCTGCACTGCCAAACATAGGGCCTCCTTCTCCAGCCGCTCTCGTCGATGCTGCAAGCGGCGTGCATCCCGCAGCTGAGGCATCCGAGTGGACTCCATGAGCTCCTGCGCTGATCGCAGGAAATTGGAGACAAAGAGCCGCAGCAACAAGCGTCGCCACCGGCCCCATGGCTGGCGCTGTACGGCCGTGCGCATGAGGTGGATCGGATGCTGACCACGGCACAGGTTCTCTTGACCAGGCAGTACTGCGGGTGATCAAAGTGGCATGTGATGCATTGAAGCCGCTGCCAAACTCAACGATCGAGACGGCGACGTGACCGGTGTGCATCTTCTTCATGTTTTGTTTCACACCAATGGTCATGTACATGATAGTGCAATGCCCCATATCAATGACAGCTCCCAACTCTGAAAGAAAATAAGCTGGCAAAAGGAACGGTATGTCACCCGGCACGATTTGCACCCTGAGGACTCCGGATTTCCCTGCGAGGCCAATGGGGACATAGGCTATCTGTGTCTTCTCTTCTTGGCCACATATTCCTCGCACGGAACCGCCGGACTCCTCTGACCACTGAACCTGCAACCCGAACTTGGTCTTCAACAAATGGTCATGGTTGGTGAGGGTGTTCATGCCGACGAGTCCATGTTGTGCTGCCGTGTCAACTAATGCGGTGCCATCGGAGGTGTGCATGCCCAAAAACACGAACGACAATCCGGAAAGCGAAGTGCTCATGTATTGCTCAAGCATTGGTGGATCCACTGTCGTGGTCATGAACTGTCCAAATCCCGCCGCCTTCGGCGGTTGAGTGAAAAAGCCAGTGGTCATTGCTCCAGTGGTTGAAGCTACACTTGAAGCACTTCGGGAAGGCAAAGAAGGAGTCTTGCCTCTGTGCGGGCATTCTTTGCTCCAGTGTCCCAATTGTTTGCACTGGTGGCATCGGGTCTTTGCCTTCAGCTCATTGATCGAAAGGCGTGAGCCCTGCCGCTGCTGCCATGGTCTGTCGAATCCACGGCCATTTCTTGCTGCTTGCAACCTCCGGCGGTGTTCAAGGTAACCGCCTCCTTTTCCTCCATGATGAGGTGAGCCACCGGCGAAGGTGCGATGGCTTTTGCCTTTTCCTTTCTTGCCCTTGCCTTTGCCCTTGCCTCCAAAGCGGTGCTGGGTCTCATAGAAAACTTCTTCAAGCTGCCAACCCAAAGCTTCCAGAGCTTCAGATTCCTCCATCACACCTGGCAGGTCTTGGGCAAAGATCAACTGGGCCTCATAGTTGTCGTTGAGGCAAATCAAATCTTCCAAACCTTCATCCTCCGGCCATTCGGAGGCGTAGATGCCGCTGCCATCATCATCCATGAGGTCATCCTCATAGTTCTCATCGGCATCATCGCCGTAGAAGGTGTTGCTCCTCCATCGGCGGAGTGTTCCAGCGTGCTGGTCATAGTGCGCTGACTCATCCAGCTTGTCGCCAAACACTTTCTGGATTGCTGACTCGATCTCTCTGAAGTCGATCGAGCCATTGGTCACCACCTTCAATCTTTGCCTCTGATCCTGAGAGAAAGCGCCCTGCCTCAGGATCAGGTGTCCAAGAAGGTGTCGACCTGGTGAACTTGCGAGCAGATCAAGTCCTTGTTTGCGAAGCTCTGCAAAGGCTGCCTTCTTGCCGGTCAAGAAGGCGGTCAAAGTCATGCCGCGTTCGCGGCGGCCACGGAAGATGGCCTCATCGAAGGCTTGCTCTAGTCGTTGATCCTTCAAGTACTCATGAGCTTCTTCAATGAGTCTCAGGATCTGCTTGTGGCCATTCTCTGCAGTGATCTCATCGACCGTCAAGTGGGCAAGCATGGCGCCGAGCTTGCTGCCAATGGGGATGCTGTCGATGATTCTTTTCCCGATCAAATTGTGTGGAAGCCTTGCTTCAGCCTCCACCAACCAAAGCAACAAGTTGCGATGAAACTCCTTGAATTGCTTTTCTGGTTGAGAGCCATCCCATGAAGGTGCTGGGTCAAGCTTGTAGTCAACATATTTCTTGCCTGAGTCCCGAGCCGTTGGTGATCTCGGAGGTGGTTCCTCAGGCATTGCCATTGAGCGTGTCGCTCCAGCCCAGGGATCTTGTAATTCAAGGCGATCTTGATCGGGCAGTCGTGATTCTGCAGAAGGTCGTTGAGCATCAGGCTGTAGTGGGGTCATAGGCCTTACAGGCGTAGCACTGCCGGCGGGTGATGCCGCCGGTGGAGTTGAAGAAGTCGTGCCATTACCGCCTCGCCATGTTCTTTGAGGTCTGGTGCTCATGGGCTCACGACCAAATGAAGTCCAGCGAACTGGTAGATAAAGAAAAACAAGGTCAAAGTGACGAAAACTGTGGGCTCAGCCAAAGGCCAACTGCCGGGCGCAAGTCACCCTCTACTGTCTCAAGGACGAAGAGCTCGAGGTCGCGAAGAAAGGGTCGGGGCGTCCCCCGCCTTGAAGAAGTCCTGCGCCCGGAGCCCCCTGGCCGTCGCCAGAGAGCTCCGCTACCACTGAGAAACAGCGGACGGAGAGCGTCTTTTCTCCACAAAAGGGGTGGCTCAAGGGCCCTGGTATTGAACCAGTGGCCGCGGCGAAAACTGAAGTCAGCTTGTCCTGGGTCGTTTTGTACCTCGTTTCTCAAAATGGTTTTGCAGTGTTACACTAGTGTTACAGTTGCAGGGTGGGTCTCGTCATACAAGGAGTATCTTCACCGTCATGTCCGACAACCTGATCTTTTCACTTTCGGGGTTGTCTTCTTGCGGCGAACCGGCCGTCAAACCTCGTCATCTCCAAGTCTCCTGTCAAGGCCAAGCCCCACACAAACGTCCCATCGCCTCAGCATCTGCGGAAGGTAGCCAATGCAATGGTCGAGAGTTGATTGCACAACGATGTGACATTAATGAGGTCTTTAACTGTAAGGAAGAATGAACTAAAGCACACAACTGCGGCCTGATATTTTTCTTACTGTCGCTTTTAAGTGGGGTACTTGCTTGAGAGCATCGTTGATATATGGGGCATGACCGAAATTCCCACGGTAAAATACGTTACTGTAAACAAACTATATTTCTGGCCCCCCCTCCTCCGAAATGTCATCAATAAAGCGGGTGATGATAGCTCATCTAATGCATCATGCGCGGCTTCCACAAAATCGCAACGTTATTTTGCTAAGCTGCTGGCCTGCCTCCGGAAAATAGATGGGATCAACCTGGTGGTTAAAGAATGTGTCATGCAAGGATGCATGTCACACCTCTTTTCCTGCTTGATCCAATATGGAGTCGATCAAACGCATGCCTGCAACTAACTTTGAAACCCTTATATAAGTTAAGAAGCTCAAGAATCATATGATTCATGATGCAATGCTAAAAGCCTTCGTGTGTGGCATTGAATGCGGATATGATATGGATCACATATGATCGCATATTTAACAAACTTTGCACTGTCGCACAAAGCACACGTGCAACCAAAAGATCACCATCTTCCCTTTGCCCAACTGGATGCATGTATATGCATGTTAGCATGTTGCATATTGCTTGAAATGGCGCGCCACCGCAGCTGTCGATCGTGACACGCCTGTCAGTTGACATAGCCGCTGAGACTTCAGGCTGAGGGAGGATACTGAGAAGCCTCAGCATCAGGGGTCCTGAATCCCAACACCGGCGATTCGTGTGTCAAATATGTCAAAATAGATTAAGTTATTAATAGATCAACATAGTGTTAACACAGCGAAAATAGTGCTCAATGGTGATCTGACCTGTTGCAAGTGTTTAGACTTACCAAGTAGGCTTGTTGTGCAATCTCCCTCTTACAAACCAGGGGATCGACATCAATCAAAGAATCGACGTCAAATACGAATTACAATTAAATTGTATTATCTATTTGTATTTGCATCCCTTTTGATCCCCTTTGATTCTTGTTGTCCCGCATCCGCAGGGAACTTGATGGGCAAGCTTCGCGTCCACACGCGCCACCTGCCTCTCTGTTGGGCTTTCGGCAGGAACAGCCACAAACGGCCCTTTAAGCGCTTTAAGACAGCCACGGGTTCCGCGGGTCAACGGTAAGCACAAATTAATCACATACAGTCATACAATCATACAGTGATCAGTATTGATCACTGAAATGGGTAATCCTTAAGTTGTTTCTCATGCTTTCTCTTTATGTCTACCGTACTTGAATATCTTGAATGGCCGCGATGGGAAGCAGGTTCAATGTTCATACTGCAATGTATCATGCGATCTTTCCAGCACATGGTTGGATGCTTCAGCCACGCATGGGAGCCCTAAAACCCAAAACCCTACCGGGCGTCCTCGTCCTCCCGTACCGTACCTGGTGGCGTATCGGCATGTCATTCTTTCGGTCCGAGCCACACCACCAGTGGCAACAAGATCAGCTCACCAAGGCGGACGATCCACGAGATCACCGTCCAACCTGAGACGGACGGCGGTGGCGGGGAGTTGCCCCCCGTCCCGCGAGTGCAAGAATCAGTGTTCTTTTTTGGGGGGGGCGGTTGGCTTTGGGTGGCTTTGGCACGACTTAGGCAAGTGTTCTGACTTAGGCATACTACATCATACTACTGTAAAGCCGACCCACATGGAAGTCGGAAATGGCCAATCCGGGATGTACATAATATTTATCCTGGGGCTTCCATTGAGATGACTCAAACCGCAAGAACATCTTTTCAAGTTGCAATTTCATTGGGGTGTTCGCGAAGGAGACTGAATGTTCGGTTCGCTTGTGCATCCAGCATCCGTAGATCACTTCGGGACTGATTCTTTCTGCCGTTCGTGCATACTTGACTCTTGTAACGCACGTTGAAGCTAAACTTCTCTGGACTAATCAGTTCAACCCATGCGTACGTCATTTCTACCAGTGAACCAGGACCCAAAGCCTGGCCACCCTCCCTGAGGCGACCACCCATCTGTTCGAAGGCCACACCAAAGTCGCTGGCTTGGCCCGGCTGGGAGATCAACGAGATGGCCAGTTGAGCTGTGAAAGACACCATCTGGTCGGTTTCGACCGGGGCCGATTGGTTCGGGCAAACATTGCAAACATGTTCTGAGCCTGCTTGGCCTGGGTGGGGGCAACAGATCGACCCTATGGAATGTCGTGAGGCAAAGAGTAGAGGCTCAAACAAGAGGCTTGCAGGCTCTGCTTTGCCCATGGTGCCCCGTCCCAACGGATGATTCATGATGATTCTTTCAATTGATTTGCTTCAATCTCTTCCTCAATCCTCTGAACACCAGAAATAGTGCAGTGCGAGAACAACACCCCAATATCTTGAAGGCTCTCAGTCAGGAGGCTCCCCAAAACAAAAGTGGCCAAAGCGCATTTCCATGCAGGGCTGCAAGGGATCCGGTGTGCGGGCGCCCAGTTCGCCCGGTTCAAGTGACAAAAAGCCCCCATCAGATCAGGGTGACATGGGTGATCATGCCACGTACTGTGTCAGGCTGTGGTTGACACCCACTGGCAATGAGGTCAAGTGATCCTGCCGTAATGGAAAAACATGAGTCCACTGGGGAATTGGTCCAGTCAATAACCATGATGCAACCCCTTTGTGTTTCCAACTTCATCCTGACTTTCCTTGCAGCAGTTGGCTTTCCAAATCGGATGATCTGGTCTGGTCCAATCCAATTGAAAGCGAGACCTGCCAACCATCTCCAGCCCAAGGCACAACACAACAAGACATAAGTCATAAGATGTCATAAGTCTTCTGAGTGCATGCAGTCCATCTTCTTCCTCGGTGTCCACCGCACACTGCGCCGCCGAGGTGCCGCCGCGATGGCCAGCGTGCCAATCAGCGCCAAGGGCATCGTTCGAGACTGGGCAGTCGTGGCACCAAGGTGAGTCTTTGAACGGAGGGAGAAATGTAGCCTTCTTGTTACTAGTAGCTACTTGCTCCTAGTAGTACGGCCAGGAGCCCCTAGTAGTAAGGTGAGTCATTCATATATCTCTGAGATGGCCTCTTGAAAATGCCCCAGACTCCCTAGACATTGGGGCTGGGAGGGGCTCTGAGCAAATGCTCTATAAATGAATGCTCTAAGCAAACACGGAACAAGCCTAGTTTGCAAAAGGATGGCAGCCAAAACTCCAGGGGTACCATCAAGCACTGTCACTTTCGCTTCAAGAACTTGGACTGTCAGGGGGGCTGGCAAGCCCTCAAAAGAGGACAGAACGGTTGGGGAAAGGAGAAAGCAATCTCACAGAAAAGAAACCAATTCTGTAATGTTGACAAAAAAAAGCACCCAGAATGGTTTACATCTAATCTCCTTTCCTGACAGCTTTACATCAACAGCACATTCAAGTAAAGGCAGTAAAGGGCAAGGCTGCCCAAAACGGTTGTTCTCTGCATGATTGGCCACCCCACCCACGGAACCATCATCTCTCCGTCCTCGCCGGGGCACAGCATTCTTCGCCTTGGAGGACAAGCAGCACACTTCGTCGAAGCCAATGAAGCCGAAGAAGAGCAAGGTCGTCGCGTTGATCACACCATTGCTGGGTCGTCCGTTCCGGTTACGCGGAAGGGAGGAAGATGAAGGAACTCCGGAGGTCCACAGCTAGCTTAAAAGGGTTGAGGCCCTGGCTGGCTGAAGTGGCTGAGGGATCGGATCATGTGGGATAGTCCGAACTGCCGCATGTCTATCCTAACAGTGCCCCAATGCCCCTTCTCCGTGCCTTGCAGTGCCGGTTGGATCTTTGCGGGTCAGCTGAGTCAGCTCACTCCATTCCTTCCACTCCAGTCCCCCAAATCATTGACCCCAGACAGTCCCAAACCTGGTCATTTGCGGTCATTTGCGCTTTGCATGTTCATGCTAAGGCGCCGCCTTCAGCGGGCGGAACGAAGGACCCACCGAAAACGGGTCCTTTGACCGGTGGTTCCAAAACGAAGGACCCAGCTTCTGGGGGAAACCTGAGTCGCCCAGAATAAACCTACTCCCCCAAAAACGGGGACTGTGTAAAAGTCTGGGTGATGGGTAGTGATGTGCATCTTGAAAAAGCAATTTTAATGATTCAGATCATGCATCCAATCATTGTCAGAGGCTGACGAGGAGCATGCCGCCAGGTGCAAAGACTTCTCCAGACTCAAAAATGTTCTGCCTGAGCTGTGGGATCTACGCTTGACCTGTGAGCCTTATCAAGCTGAAGTGTGCATTTTCTGCTATTAACTTTCGCACCATCACGTACCAACCCCTTCAGCGTGAATTTCTGTGTGTATTCCTCCCGTGCCTCGAAAGAATGATTTCTCGATCTTGTAGCAGCATATGGCACAACACGAACATCAAACTTCGGGGTCCAATAACACTCCTGGGCAGCAGGGAAGCACTCCATCTGGCCAGCCATTCCGGTCCATGTGGCAAGCAGCACCAGCCCGGGCGCCATCCGTCTCTCTGTCTGGTGCCAAGCTGCGAGGCACCAGTGAAGCCGCAAATCACCATGAAAATCACCTCAGGCTTATGCGAAAAGAGCGGAGTTGGAACGATCCCAGGGTGTCAAGTGGGTGTCAACAGACTTCCTCAAGGTTTGATTTCTGCTGGAAATGGATGGTTCCACTCTTCCTACAGACCTGCACTCATTCCAAGTGACTGCAGGTCCAACTGAGCATACCAAGCACGATTATTGCGTACTATACTAGTATGCCATCCATTGTCATATACCAATTAATGGAAGAACCCATTTGAGGTTAAGTGTTTACTGTAGCATACTGTAGCAATAGTCATGCCAAGTCGCCAGCAGGACTTTCAGAAAAGTCATAAAGTTCACCACAGCCTTGCTCAATGAGAGGCCGCCCATCAACAGCAAGGTGCATCCCCTGTGCCAAGGGCTAGGTGTGATTCGATGTGATGTGGATGTCGTTCAATCAGACTTTGAATGCTGCTATAGCTCATCCACTAGCTCAGCCCGTTCCCATGCCTACTGACTCTGACTCCGTATGACCCCTCTACGAAAGCACGGGAAATGGGATACGTCGGTGTTCTTCGACGTTCTTATGGTTAAGAAGTAGATATTCCATCTTATATAATCTTATATATATATATATGCTCCCCTGGCCATCTGTCGAAGGTACACTCGTACACTCGCTACACTCCGGCCGAAGGGCGCTGTCAAGAAAGCAGCTGAGAGATCAAGATAGTTGTCGTCAGTCCTGGCGCGCCACGGCCTCGGCCTTTCCACGGGTAGGCCGAAGATGGACAAGGCTGGGCGTAGTTTCTCTGTCTCTTGTCTGTAAATCAGCGGGCCCATCGAAACACACGCGGAACAGTTCCTGGCGTAGTTGTCCGCCAACTGTGCTGCTGTGGCATCAGCAGGCCAGGTGCCCTGCCACAGGGATCAAAAAGGTTGAAAAGAACATGTTCTTGATTCAACCAATTCTGGCGCTACTAGTATTTGGTAAAGGCACTTTTGCGGAAAAGGCGTCGCAATTTGTTGGAGCCTCAAGAGACAGGCTGCATGGCAGGCCCAAGTCGTGGTCGACCGTGTGGTGACCGACAGAGGCTGAAACGTCAAAACTCCGCCCAAATGATCGACACACAGCTGTCAGGCCTTGCCAAAGTAAAAGAAGACGGTGTGCTTGTACTCATCACCTCTGTTGGGACGATTCAAATTTAGGTCCAGGATTTTCCAGGCCGGCTTCTGCAAAACCGATGTGCAGGGTGCCTTTACGCAACCACCTGTCCTCAAAGAATCTCAAAGAACCGGAGAAAAAGAAGTACCATGAAGTACCCACCCTGTCGAAGGAAACGGCCCATTTGCTGAGAAACTTAAATATGCCCACGCCCATCTCACCACGCCCAGTCGGAGAGTTGCCTAAGAAACTGCCCATCTTCTGTGACCAGTTCCGGGCCACGCCGGCGCCTGATGGTGCGAAACGTGGCGCTTTCGCAAGGGTGAAGCAATGGACAGAATGACAAAAATGCTACAACATGCATCAATAATTAATAGTGTTTGGAGGTGAATGAAAACCTCAAGAACGTAACTCATGGCCTATTATTCATCATGTGTTTTTCTGGTATAACTGCCTACTGTCAGTTGCTTTTGGGCGCCTTTTGTTGCTGTCACAAAGTCTTGCGAGACGCACCCCGTTTCTCTGGGCCGAGGAACCTGAAATGCCATACTCCAGGGTAATGCAGAAGGCCCCTTGGTCCAAACCCCGATTCCGAATTGGTGGTGCTACAGCAGGTACGGTCAGACAAATTGAGAAACGGTCCTGCGAACTTCAAAGTGTTCATTTCCAGATTTGGGACACATTCGGCCACATGTCTCAGGTCAGTCATACAACTCCGGCACTCACTCTAGCGTGCGCAAGCGAGCGGGGTGCCTGCCTCAACCCATACTAACTTCTCAGTAAAATGTACGCTTTCAGCATATAGCAGAATTTGACCCATGCACCGTATGAACAAACTGTCCACGAGGCCGGTCTCCATCGGGATCGAAGATCTCGAATGAAGCTAATGCGCTGCAACCGTCAAACCATTTCACCACCACCAGCTGCATGGAATGTCACCACCCATCCTTGACCACCTCCTTAACGTCGCCACACCGGTTGAGGTGCCAATCACGGCCCAAAGCTCGCCCAGGCCATGGTAGGAAAACGTGTAGCAGGAGCCGCGCGTGGGCAAACGAGCCTTATCGCCCGACACCGAACACGCGAACCGTTCCTCCGCGATCCGTTCAGATGTGCGGGGGGGATGTGATCGTTTGAGGGAGCGAACGAGCCGAACGTGAGAGGCAGGCATCAGGTAGGCGGAATCCATTTCAAAGGCGTGATGCCCTGATGCCCAACATGATCAACATGATTGGCTCAAGTTCTTGGCACATGCGGTCTAAGTGGAGCCCCCATGCACAGGTAAAGCAGTATTGAAGCGTAGGCGCTTGACGCAGTCTGAAAGGAAGTTCCGCAATTGAATCTTGACCTTCGGTTTTCACCTAACCACCTACTGTCATTCCATCCCCCCAGTGACCACCAGTGCCCACAGGACCAAGAGTGATCCTCGGGTTCTACACTTCAGCCACCAAAAACCCCTAAAGTCGACATGTTCCCTGCCAGTCATCCCCTTCCAACTCTATCCAACTCTGCCCCTTCCCCATCTGAGGTCCCGTGGCTGAGAGCTCCATGTAGGCAAAGCCACTGAGCAAACACGCGATGCCGGCGAAAACCCAGCTGAGACTGGCCGAAGGGCCTGGCGGCCAAGATCCAGTGCGTGTGCGCGCGTGCGCACATGCCCAGGGAGGTCCTAATCTTGGTTGTTCTTTTTTCCTGGGGGCCATGGGTGAGATCTACGAAACGAATCAGTCGGGATAACTTCTTTTTTTCAACTGCTATTATGGCTACTTGAGGCTTTACGAGTATGGGATCAAAATGCCGTGATAGAAAAACCGCAAACAAGTGACGCTGCATATTCTGATGCCCCCTAACTGACCTATTCATTTTATATATTTACAAAGCGTTGACCTCCGATACCCTACACCAGACCCTGGGTCAGCATCTCTCCTTTTTCGTCCTGTCACTTCGATGATTGAGCGAAGGACACATGTGAGGGCGGCCCTGTCTGGCAATTGTCAGAAGAGGCCACAACAAATTGAAATCTCAGGCTTCGCCTGACGGATCTCATGGGTCATCCTGCACTCCGCACATCATATTGCCTGGGACGGCCACATCAATCTTCTTTGGGTAGGCCAGGCCTTGGTAAACCAAGGGATATGGATCATCATCCAGCTTGTTGAAAGGGCTCCCAATGATTGCAAAGTCAAAAGCCAAAAAATAGAGAAACTAACCAGTTTTTCGGATACTGTTGTTGTGATCCCAAACTAGAGCCTCAACACTTGAGATTCCATCACCGAGCCACCCAGATTGTCCATCAACTCGGCAAACTCATCAACAGACTTCGTCAGTCGAGGGTTGAATCGTCGCTCCTCCTCCACTGAAGAGACACCTCGGCCCTTGTAATCATGGCCAGGGCAAATGAAGGTCTCACCTTGGCCAGTGACCATGACGGCTATTATTAATATCTCATTGCCATCACACTAGGTTACATCAAGATGGAGAGAGAGAGAGAGTGAGAGAGAGAGAGAGTGAGTGGGAGTGATCAGTTCCCTCAACAACTAACACAAAAGGAAAACCAGCACGGCTGCACTCTGCAGGTGGCCCGGCAGCGTAAAGATCTGCTCATAGACGTTTTGATAGAGGAGCCGTGGGTTGCCCTGCTGGAAGTCAGTTCTGCCACAGCCACGGATCAGCAAGGTGTCACCCGTAAAGGCAAAGGATGCGGTCTTGGTCTTCAATATGAAGGTGACCTCGACTCGGCTCCAAGAACTGGACAAAAGCCAAGTGACTTTCAACATGTTTCAACTGTTCTCAGGCAGCACGGGCCTGTGATTGCACAAAAGCTCTGTTGTGATGTCTTTCCCTGCTCTGGTGGTGTGCCCCTGCACTGTCTGCAACAAGGGCACTTTAATAAAAGCAAGAACATGAGAAGTATTCCAAAAGCAACCCTGCATTCATATTTAAGGCAAGAATAGGATCACTCGGCATAGTGATTTCCAACAAACATCAACAAAAAAGAATTCGAACAAACCAAACACGGCAAAATAAACCCATGGAGCAACTCCTTTTCTCGGAACGATTCTCCATGTCATTGGTGAGATTGGGTGAGACTTTTTTTGGTCAGAGTTGACCGACCTGGCCCAGCTGAACAAGCTTTCTGAAAGCATCAAGATCATCAAGCTGGACAGCACCAACGATCAATGGCACAAGGCAAATGATCCGATTGCTCAGGGGACGTCATGACAAGTCCAATTGAGCTTCCCATCTTCTTGATGCGGAGTTGTTGGAAGATCTGAGTGGAAGTGGGCCTGGTGTCACATCTGAATGCCCTTGGACCATTCTCCTGACTTTATGCCCCACGAATGCGGGTTTTGTCAGTTGCTCATTGTGCTACCAAAGGTCCATGGAGTCCATGGTCATGGCTTTTGAACCCGGCTGGCTTCCAAGGATATGATGGCTCTTGGCACTCACTCACTCAATCAAACGATTGCCGCTAGACAAACGTAACTAGACCAACCTCCAGGTTCTGGCGCCCATGCCTTTCCTCATCTCTCGCCGGCCTCAGATTCATCAACAACTCCTGGGATGACAGACCACGGGGCCGCATTGCTTGGTGCAGCTGCAGTATGGGGATTGTTCGTTGGCTCCAACTCACCTTGACTCGGCACAGTGGCAGGGCTATCCTCCGGAGCGGCGTCCTCGTCCGGAGCGGCGCTGTCGCACGTGCGGAGCTTGCCGGTCTCCTGGTCGAAACAAAGCTTTAAGAAGAGGAGACACAGCAGGTTGAAGATCAGGAGCCCCGCCAAGCCTGCGATTTCGGAGGTGGGAGTCTGGCCACAGTTGGTCTTCACCAGCAGGTGGGCTATGATGCCATAGATGACCATTTCAAGCCAGCGGAGCGGCAAAGCTCGCACACAGGCAGTGTGAAATTCGTCCGAAAACCAGAAAACGATAGGGACGACATAACCTCACTTGGTGGGTCAACCCCCTGCCCTTTGCGAACATGCCAACAAATCTTTGTCTTTGTTGCGCATATCAATACGGAAATAGATGTAGAATATGCTGAACTACCTCCCACCAAAGAATAAAACACACACCAGCAAAAACATGCAAAAAGAACTGAGCCCACGTGAGTGACATGCAAAAAAGCCTCCGACCACGCCACAAAGAAAGAAGAGGCAGAAACTCTCACTCGCACCCCGGTTCAAGAACCAAGAGTAAATGCTGCTGGATGCCAAGGACACCACCAGGATGAGTAAGATCCCAAAAGATCTTGAGTGGGAGGACAAAACCAAGGCATAACCTCCAGATCTCACCAGTTGGTCAGTGGCCAGCCACAAGAACGACACCACGCAGTAGAGCGGCTGGTAGAGACACTGGATATCAGCAGTCACTGCCTTTAAGAGGCCATGGCTCAAGGAGAGCCCTGAAAGCACCACTGAGGCGATCATGACCGGGTCACCCAGCGAGCCCGTGCGGAAGAGGACGTAGCTTTGGAAGTACAACTGCGGTGCACTTTCCAGAATCTTGCTGGCAAATTCCCGGTACACTACTGGCCCTCGTCGGCGGATATCTCTTGGCTCCGGCACTCCCAGGCACATCGCCAAAAGGATGTCCAGCAAGTAGTGCAGTTGGCAACAGCTGAGGCAAAAAAGCATGAAAGCTTTCAACAAAGACCCGCAGCAGGTCTGAGTCCCCAGACCAATCTCATCCACCACTTCGTAAACACAGCCCGTCCACAGAATGGCTTGCACGAGGTTGGATACCACCAACATGCTCAGACCAATCCCGAACCACCAAGGATGTGCCTCACATGTCTCTGTCCAGGGTCGTAGTAGTTCATCATCGTCACAGCGCGTAACGAAACTGCTGTGGACCACACAACCATACCTGGAACATGAATGCGGTCAAAAGCCAAACAATAAAGTTGGCCTCCGCCAGGACCTCCCCAAAAACTCAAATCTACCTTATAGCTTTATTAAGTTACTTAAATGCCATCAGCAGCCTCCTCAATACCAATCAAGTCCGGTGGGTTTACACCCCAAGCCCTCCCCTGAACCATCTGCCCCGTCCAAGGCGCTGCAACACGACCAACCAGTCTGAAATAAAATCCGCCCAGTTTAGGCCCGCCATGAAGACCATCTCCAGGACATACTTTTGGTGAGGGCTTACCAGTCTCGAAGCCGCGCGCTCCAACGCCCCCATGGCGACTTCAGGCAGTGATGGGTGATTTCTTGGTAGGGTCCGAGTGATTTCTTCGCAATCGGCCTACCATGGCTGGTGTTGCAGTGTTTAAATTGCAATGGGGTGATCCTCATGCCTCCTCTGATGGGGACTCAAACGGGTTCCATGGCTTAGGCTTAACTGCAGTAATGGAGTTCTGCGCATGCGCTCAAGGTAGCAACTTTGTCCACTGAAACCATGCACGGCCCAGCGTGGGAGAACATGCTCAAAAACACGAGCAATCATCACCTGCACAACCCCTTGGCTGCCATGACTCAAACAGCAAATCAGGTCTACAGCTACAAGTTGGAGGCCGTGACCCAAAAAAAAAGCATTCTTGAACACCTTACTGGACTTGAGCTACTCCACCCACTTTTTGGCCAAACTGCTAGCCGTAACAACTCCAAAATGTGGTCATTGGAGCTTTGATACCCCAAAAAGGCTTGCGGGTAGAATAAGTCCCAAGGTGTGTGTGGCCCTTTCAACGTCCCATGTGAACGGCACGAAGGGCGTGAACGCATCAACCTCATAGGCTCGTTGATGAGAATTGCTTTGCATGATTTCACATGGAAAGGGTCACGATAGAACAAGAACCCACATTTTGTGTTAGGGGAGAACGGGCGCGAAGAAACTTATGATAATCAGTGATGTTGAGCAGAAATTGATTAGAGTCACAATGAACTGCCCCAAAGTGCAAAATAGGTGCCTTGCTGGTGTCATCTACTCTGCTCTACTCTAAATACACATCTTTACACCATTCTACACCTGCCGCCGACAAACTTTTGGCAGGAGAGTCACACAGCCATCAGTGTGTCCAGGAGTGGCACGAACCTCCAGCTGAAGTTTGCCAAAGCTGATGGTATCCCCATGCTTGATGTGCATGTCAGCCTTTGCTCCTGAGGCTTCAGAAATGATGGTCTTCACCTCTGGCATGTCTTTGCGGATGAGACCACCAGAAGTGATGTGGTCGGCGTGGCAGTGCGTGTTGATGACATACTTCAGCTTCAAGTTCAGCTCCTTGAGCACCTTGCACACCAAACGGACTCCCAACGCAAAAAAGAAAATCAACTATAATAACATATATATATATATTACTTAGATTGAATTATAACATATTATACCGACATCCATCATCATCCATCTATATAGGTCCAACGTACCGTTGCGGCGCGGAACCAATACACCGCCCAAATTCCCACGCATGTCTCTCAACACCCTTCTTACACCACCTTTCTCTCTTCTCCCTGTATCACCCTACCTGTCCATCTATGGCATGGTCCACCTGTCCTCCTAACCTGAAGATCTCGATCCTTTTGCTCCAGCACCGGGTCAATGAGCACCGCCTCGGAGGTCTCCGGACACGTCACCAGGTAGGTCAACGTGGAGGTCTCCTCGTCGAAGAGCTGTCGCACCTCTGGGCTCCTGACACCGAAGCGGAGATGCCAGTGCCAAATTGAGAAGTCTTAAGTGATAAAAAAGTGGGAGCTACTTGAAGTTAGGCATGCTAATAGTAAAGACTTGAGTGAAACTTTGAGTGGACTAAAAAGTGGTCACTCGATGGCATAGGCGGTTGATGTAAGGCAAGTACTCGCCCGGCCCACAGGATAGGCACCACTACTTGGCTGGATTTTGCCGGCTTAGCAGCACTCCAACTCTGATATGTTAAGAACATCACCGATGTTTGCAACCACACACTGCTCATGATGCGCTACCGCTAGTTTTTTCTGCTCTAAAACCCAACTTCATGCAACTTGACTGTGGCACATCTCCAAACCAACGACCTGCGGACCCCCTTGGGCCACCACATGCTAACGCCACCGAGGCGCTTGGCGGTGATGATCCGACCAGTGCGCACCTCAGGCAAGCGGCTGGTGAGCCACTCAAGAGCCTCCGGCCGCACAGTGTCCAAGCTCAGGTCCTTCACCAAGAGTTCAGCAGGGCCCTGGGTATAGCCGCGCTCCTGTGCATCGAGTCACGTCTTCGGTGCCTCACTCTGCGGTGCTGAGGCAGTCGTGGGACCAGGTGTGCCGTGCAGGGGAACGTAAAAGGGCACGACAGGACGCTGGACTTCGAACAGTCACTCATTCATTTCATGCAGGTTCTGGATCTTCATCCTTCGTTGTGGTTTGGAACCTCATACCACTACAATGTCTCTTTTTGGCTTGTGCCCACGGTGTCCTACTGGTTGCTAATGCTCCTTCTTGCGACTCTCCAGTCAGTTCTTCTCCCGTCCTTGGCCATCCAAAGCAGCAAGGCCACAGCCGCTCGGTTGGCCGAGGTGCATTGGATCATCAGGGGCCTAGGCATCTCGTCCACCAACGTCACCAACTTCTCCACCACTTCCGGTGACAAATCCTGCAGGGATTTGCAACAAAGCCGTGCTCCTTTCCTGGGAGCTATGATTTTTGTTTGCTTTTGGCGCTGTCTTTTGGTTTGGAAGGTGAAGACTCCATGTTTTCGTGCAGCTTTTGCTCGTCTTGTTGTGTCTTTTGATTGGGTGTGGGGGTCTCTGGGAGCAAGATGTGCGGTTGTATATGTTTGCCCTACCCAGCAGCTGGTGAAAACAAGCGGTACTCAGTACTTTCTCAACCAACAAACGGTTACTGACCTTTCAACTGCAGCTCCTTGGAGGGTTTGAAAGGACAAACTTCCACTTTGGACCCTTTGGACTTGATCTTCTCCGGCATGAAGTGTGGATCCGACTCGGGGTTCACATAGAGCCAACCCTTGCACTCCTCAGAAACGCCCAGCGACGAACCTTGCATCCTCAAGTTCAGTTCAGATGTTCCCCCGTGAGGGTCACCCGTGTTCGAGTCAGATGATTTCAAAAGGCCGTGGTTGAGGACGTGTCAGATGGTTTCTGCAGCACCATGGAGCACCCCAACACTCAAAAATGCATATTGAATGGCTCGAGACTCTTCCGCCAGCTTCTCCACCATATCTTCTGGAAGATCCCCACTCACCAGCACATCACCTGGCAAACAGGGTGCCCTCACTGGAAAGTCTTTGGTGATCTCGGCCAGCTTGGGTTCCATCGCTTTGCCGGCACCACTTCCCATTGGGTCTCGGAATATCTCAGGCTCGTGCGAGAAAGCAAGAGACCGGGCGTGCGACTTGATCGCTTGGGCCAAAAAAGAGGTAAATAAGCAAACAACCTGATTCAAAAGTTAGGGTTGTTCAGTGTGCCTCTCAAAATCTATCCTTGTCTTGCCAAGCTTTGCCAAAGAATCATCCGGCATTCATGACAATTTGGACCGTGTTCCTTGGTTTCCGCGTGGACACACTGCATCGAACATCTGCCTACCGGCCAACAAGCTCGAGCAGTTGTGGTGTCAACCATTGCGAATCGTGAGAACCAAAACACCGTTGCATATTAAGTATGTTTTAAGTATCGTATAATCACGGCATGTCATGACTCTCTCAGACTCTCTCTCTCTCTCTCTATTGTTTGAGTTATGTCGCTTGCCCTTTGCGGCAAGATTGCACGAGTTCTTCCAAATGTGTCACATGTTGGCAGCGGCATTCATTCATACATCGCTACCGAGCCGTTCCACGGCCTGCGATGGGCAAGACCTGCCCAGTCAGTACGAAGACTCCAGAGCCCACGGTGGAGCCCACACCAATGCATAGCAGGTCGATGAGGCCTAGCCTGGACAAAGCGTGAGGGTTGGGAGAGGAATTGTACGGAATTGTTGAGAGGATCATAGGTGAGGGAAAAGCAAGGGCTGTGATGTAGAAGATGTGGAAATGCTTCAGGTTGAACATGTTCTTTGACCAAAGCTTCATGGCAGCTTGTTCTGAAGTGTTAGTGCTTGTGGAGCGAGAATTGCATCACAAAAATCATGCACAGTCGTGGTCCTGTCCTGTCTTGGATGGAGTGCCTCAGCCTACTATATACTTATTATAAATATGAGACTATGATGCTAGAGGTGATTCCTGAAAACCAGTTGGGCATGACATTCTCAACATTCTCTTGTCAATGGAGACGAGAACCATGTGGCATATCAGAAGAGCAATAACAGCGGATCAAATCGCACTTACTCTGGAGAACCTCATTTGTACATTAGGTAGCATGAAAAGGTCACGGCTGTTCTCTCTTGACACCATTTTGAAGTAACAGTAACATCCTCTCCATTTCCCAGCGCGCTTTGTTTCTGCAACTGGTTCATCTTCCATTTCGGCAATCACCGCATCCTTGGACACCAGCGCTGGGGAAACACTGAAAACATCGCCCAAGACTGCAAGCACTGAGCATGACTGCAACACCTTGAAACCTTGTCCTACCACAGAGCCACAAACTCTCGAAAAGCCTTGGCAGGAGGCAAAAAAACACATCAGCGAAGGGCAAAAAAATCAACTACCAAATTCTGAACTCAATAATAACACACGCAAGAGTTGTTCAAACGCGCCCCAACACACTGTCGCACCTACATGCCAGCGGTCAAGCCAGAACACAAAAAGCCGAATCCAGCAGGAACCCTTGTCGGTTGTTTGCATTCATTGCCAACTTTCTAGGCTTCCAGATTCCATATTGCATCATACGGATCTTGGGGAGTTGTCTCACCACGAAACTCTATCAGCAGTTCTATCAGCTCTGGAAAAATACTTGTTGCTAGTGGTAGTTGATATCCGATAGTGCCCAATATGTGCTGTGTGGCGGTAAATGTCACACATCATCAAGCTAACCACCAACTTTTTGCGTTGGCATCTCAGTTAGGCCTCAGTCGACGATGACTCAAAGGGTAAAAATACTTTTTCTCAACGCACCACATCCTCTTCATCCTCCTCATCAGGAAAATCAAGCATGTGCACCTACTGCCTACTGACATGACTTTTGCAAACTACCTTCACAAATTCTATCTGAACAAACATCCGCTACCTGGTCTACCTCCCCTTCATCATGATGTGCTCACCGAGTCACCAAGGTCTTTCGTCGGTTGGCAGAGGCGAAGCAACAGCGGCGCACCGTGTCCACTTCGGGCTTCAGGTCGCCTTGGGGCTCACAAGTCGGTTGAGGAACCGGTCGGAACCGGTCTACGGAGTCTACGGGTGCATAGTTGATGAGCTGATGAAACAGTGGACCGAATACTTTGCACTTGCGTTGTGGAACTGTGAGGCTTCACCACTGCACCTTGCAGATCAGCATGGAACTCATGAAAAGCACTGAAAAGCCAAAGCTCTTCCCGAATCTGTCGAGCTGTCGTTCATGTCCAGCTCTGCCAAGGGTGCCTCACACCCTAAGACCCGATTTTCTACACGTTTGAGCCGCTGCTTCGCTGCTGCAACACAGATTACCAGAGAGCTGCCCGCCATGCTAACTTATCCGACCGATCCATTGTTTTACAATGATCCTTACTGCAAACGACGGAACACAATACGCACAGCATATGCGCTCTGTTTCGCCTTCTGACCCACATGTGGCGCGAAGATACCGCAGGCACCGTCAGCAGTCCACTTTGGCTACTTCGCAGCCCAAGTGGAGCTCAGCTCAACCTCCAACATCAACCGCCGCTCAATTGCAGCCAATAAACCTCGCAATCAGCAAAACTCATCCAACATCTACAGTCGATATGCCAGCAATCCTCCAAAGCAACCGATGATATCCATGAAGACCTTTGAGTACAGCGGTTGGTGCGGAGTGTGAATACGAAGCGCAATATGTGAGCCACAGTGACCACTGCTTGAACAAACAAGTGGGCTCTTTTTAGGACAGTGGGACTGACTGATTTGTGCCACGTTAATCGCACGGCAATGAAGCATCTTGTTGTGTCGCGTAGAACCACTCAGCCTACCTCATGCCTCAACCTACTCGTTGCAGGGCCGCCATCCAGAACACCAACATGTGCATGGGTCTGCCTCCTGTTTTGCTGTAAACCACCTCCAAAACATCCCCAACCACGTTAAAATGCACATAATTATCTGTTCAGGCATGTGTACCACAATGCCTATCAAAAGTTTAAGGTAGAAATGGCATGCTGCTCGCAGCCCAACAGCAATCGGTCCACCAAGATCTCAGCTGTTTTTTGCGGCTCACTTCCTCACTAATCTGGTCCGTGGCGGCGAGCTTGGAGCTCGGGTCGAGGAGCTCGGAGCACGGGTGGACTGCGAGCCTCCAAGTAGCATGGGGTGCATCCAAGTAAGTCGCTGTCAACGTGACATGACATAGCCTGACTCCCTCAGTTTCCATGGAATATTGTGGTTTTCGAAAAAATATACTGTATTATACTGTTTTATAAATGTATATATAACAATAAGTAACCTTTTTCCACCTGTTCATCCCGAAAAATGGTTCAAGGTTATCCACTGACTGGGTAGGTAGCTTGTTGCTGTTGGTGGAAACTCTGCATCAGTTCAAACCAATCTCCCGTCCTATCATGTTGCTGCTTGAGAGTGTAGCTTGTGAGCCAGGAAAATGCCCTTGTTGTGTAGCTTGATAGACCTCTATGTTTCGTGAGACTTGTGAGCATCGAGGCTCTGACGTCTGAATTCAGCCTTCGAACAACCACTTGAATGGAATGTGAACTCGACCCTTGGAGAAGCATCCAACGTTTACTTACCGAACAAATAACCTGGAAGGACGCTTCCAGTCCAGGGTTCCCTTCTCCATTTCACAAACGTCGCACGCAGTCCTCTACTTTGCCAGCTGCCAGCAGTGCCTGGGCGCAAACGTCCAACCCAATGGATTCCCAAACAAGAAACAGGGCTTTCGCGGCAGCGACTCCCTGGTGAATCCCTATGGAACAAACTGCACTGAAGTAGTAGATTCGAAGAACATCATGTGTGCAAACAGCAGTTGCACAAGTTCCAACATGTGAAATCCTCCATGTAACACGTCGGCAGCGGCAGCAGCTTTCGAGCGAGGTTCGGTGCTGGCGCGCCCCGTTGCTCTCTTGCAAGCTGTGGCAAGCTACAGTAATGGATGTGCAAACTACACTCTTCTCGGGTTTGCATGGCATCACCCAGCCATATTAGTTCAACTACCCTTGAAGGGTGGGGGAAACATCTACAACAACCGGTGCTGGCTTAGAAGCTAAAACATGTGTCGCGTTCACATCCCTCCGTACATTTTCCGAGTTGCTCCTGCCACTTATGCTCCTTGTGTCGTCACCTACAAGCAAACTGTCAAACAACTGTCCAGCAGCCTATCTACCTGGTTGCCTGTGCCAGCATTGTGGGAGAGCCTGGCTTCCTAGGCGAAAGTCAAGTAACAAAATCAAGACTAAGAATTACAGTAACACGTTCAGTTTTATACGGTTTTATGTGTTTGTTGTTCTTTTCGCAAGCACCCTCACGCACTTCCATGATTTTCCAAATCATGCGGAAAAAGAAAAGGAACATCTGTAACTCGATGATCTCAATACATCGTCAATTATCCACATGAGGGAAACACGAACGAAAAATCTTCGGAATCCCTCTAAACTTGGCTGAGTCGTCCTTGCTGTGCCGGAATTGTGATGCCATTGAGATGGGCCGAGAACGTATGTCCCTACCCATCAAATGCTATGTCCTTCTTGTTGCCAGTAACTAAAAACTGCTTCCAACGTCGTTACTGGATGTCATGACTTTTATTAATCGTCATGCAGCTACAGATAGCATTCCGAACAATCAATGATTGGCGCAGGAATGCTAATCGCATCTAATCGCTTTCTCCTTGCTCAGTCCTGAAGGAACATCAGTAAACGCCCTGTCCTCTTCAAAACAGTTCTTTGATCAAAGACCTTTTTTGAGAACACACACACACCAACGAGAGCCCACTCCCTGAAATCCGAGCTCCTTCTGAGCCGACTCCCTGAAACCCAACATCCCATCCTCGTCTCCGTGCTGGAGTCGTTGGCCTGGCTTACCGAAACGTCATGTCATGAAACTTCGAAGTCATGTACCACCATTTCTTCCAGACTCGCAATTAAAAGGCAATTGCGCCAAAGGAATGACGCATGGCCCATGGTCCTCCGTCCTCTCCCCCTACCGTGGCAGGCTACAAATGGAAAGGCTGCAAGGGCCACTTTTCTTGTACCGGTGCCGTGGGAGTACAGCATGTGAGGCTGAGCCTTCAGTCCCTGTGAGCATTTTGGAGTGGTTCGTCAACGGGATCAGGGTGTTCAAGTGTTGATAGCCCTATTCTATCTTCAAACATCCTCAAACTAATGCAATCATGGAGGATAACAAGCAAACCTATCGGAGTATGTTCCTACAAAATTTGGCATAGAACAGGTCAATCAGACTGGCTTTGATCATTGTTGGACAACCCGGAGCCAAGTTCATGAACAGAAGATTGATACTCTTGGGGATATTGACATGTTTTGCTTTTCATGGTGCTCTGGCCTCCTAGGTGACGAGGGTCGCTGCAAGCTCGGGCCTTGGGATTCGGAGCGGATAAACATAGAACAGCGAAAGGCAAAGGTCCCTTCATCACTTTAAGGGTGTATAATTAGAACATATGTTCAACATGCTTGAACTCTCTCTCTCTATGTGTATATATATATATGTGATATATACCTATATATATAATACATACGGTTAAAGCACTAACATGCACTAACCATCCTTAGACACTTAAACTGCTGCGTGGAACTGCGCAGTGAGGAAATGTATCTGGTGTACATGCGACCACAATTGCTTCACACCGAAACATCATCGCGCAAAGGCTATCCTCACAAGATGGCCCCAACTAGAACAACACTTGCCTCCTCACAATTCTAAGAATTACAAGTTGACAAGGGATGTGGGCCATGTGATTCAATCTCATTACCCCCTTATGTGCGGCTTAAGCTGAACGAAATATATCGCATGAGACGTTCATCAATTCTCATCAATTCCGTTGTTTTGGAACCCCCCTGCGTCTTCTTGTCACCCATCTTCGTGCAGCATCCACCAATCCGCTCCCCCCGTTTGAGGGCACCGACTGCTGGGGGCCATTTGTGTGGGTCGTGCTGGCGGCGACATCTGCTGAGCCTTCCAAGACTTCAAGGCATCGATGCAGGCCTGCGAGAGGTCGGGGGCACAGGTGTGGCAAGTTGGGGACACCCACTTCGACACCCCTATTCGAGAGAATCCTGGGAGTGAACAAGTGCATTGCTTCAACTCAATCTCTTGTAAACTTGGATCCAATGATCAAACTTCATGGTGCCGCACCTGCCACAAAAATGGCCCTACACATCCGACGCATCGGTAAAGCCTACGTGAATGAAGAACCCATGACGATGAAACTGTCTTCCTCCTGAAGTAATTTGCCTCCAAGCATCATCAGGATCTGCAAAGTACCAACCCTACTTTGGAAACTGTTTGATGGCATCCTCCTGCCATCATCCTGGAAGCCGCCCTCTTGCCGCCATCGCAGTATTTTTTTTCAGCTCCACGCTTGCTGCATGGCTGGAGCCAGGTGCGACTTCACATAGCTGGGGCTCCTAAGGCCGGCTGAACGGGAGAGTTGAACTTCACTCAATAGGATTGAGATCAAGCAGGTGTTTGCTTCACACATTGCGCTGTTAACTTCAAAGACAAGTAGTTGGTTCAAATGTCTGAAACACTGAAACACAGTTGCACAAATGACACTGCTCCCTGGACCCACCAGATCAGAACTCCAAGGAGAGCCATCGGTCCATCGTGTGTACCTCGCACCTCGCATGTATCGTTTCGCACCTCGCACCTCGGTGGAGTCCGAGTCCACTGAGTCGAGTCTTCTTCACACCCACCGTTGAACGTGGAGCGGCTCTCGCGCGCGGAGCGGTGACCGGCGACGTTGGCGTGTCGAGGTTCAAATGAATCCCATCCAGCCGCAAGTCCGGCAGAAGCTGCAATTTGGACAAGGTCGTGATATCTGCATCCTCTGGCACGGGGCTGTCGAAAATGCCTTGGCTGGCGTTTTGGAAGGCAATGCTTT